CAATACATACTTCTTTTGAATCTGTATAACAACGTAAAATAATCATGAGCTCCCCAAATCTTGCACGAGTCCAATTTATCGTATATGTCTAAAATAAAAATGACACGAATGGAGCTTCCTCCCTTTCTAAGCTAGTGGAGATGGGCAGCGAGAGGTCGATCATTAATAAGATATAATGTTCTCGCTATATAAAATATCACAATTTGAGATTGGTGCTCTGCTATTATATCACCTGGTGAGGGAGGGTTGTTATTTGGTTGAGTTATATATATGAAGATAGCTTGCGAGGCAAGGTAATATAAGCCCACTGGCAGCTTTGATTTTGAATAAAAATATTAGACAGTACAGTAACAATTAAAATATTACGAAGTTTCATCAAAAACTATCAAGAATTGGACCTTCTAGAGTGTTAACAGGCTACAACTTAAGAACAAGGGCAATAACTCATACTTGATATTTTTCTATTTTTCTGATTTTCGATAGAGCCCATGCTTGGGTGATTACAAACACTCACACTAAGTTTGGTCAAAATCCATCAAGAATTGTGCCTTCTAGAATGTTTAGTGCTACAAATTGAACGCATTTTCAAGAACAAGGGAAAAGATAGCTTGCGTTGCAAGGTAACATACGCCCACTGGCAGCTGTCAGAAAAAATAAAACAGTCTTTAGTGACTAAAGTAGGAATTTTCTCATATTGAAGAAATTATTCATGCTGAATAATTCCACAAAATTTTTTAAAATCAATATCAACAACCCAAATACAACAAACAATTAAATCACACAGTTCTAATCAAGCGCAAAAAACAACTTTTGACGCGTGTCAAGGGCAATAACTCAAAAAATGTTCATTAAAAATATCTCTTGTTAGAACTTGTCCGAGATCTTATCAATTCCAATGATCACACCAAGTTTCATCAGAATCGGTTGAAAACTGTAGCTTCTATTGTGCTCACAAACAAATTTTGACGCGTTTTTACAAATCAAGGGCAATAACTCAAAAACCGTTCATCAAAATTGCATCAAGTTGGAACTTGTCCGAGATCTTATCAATTTCAATGATCACAACAAGTTTCATCAGAATCGGTTGAAAAATGTAGCTTCTGTTGTGCTCACGAACAAATTTTGACGCGTTTTTACAAAGTCAAGGACAATAACTTGAAAACCTTTCATCAAAATTGCATCAAGTTAGAACTTATCCGAGATCTTATCAATTCCAATGATCACAGCAAGTTTCATCAGAATCGGTTAAAACTGTAGCGTCAATCCTGCTCACAAACTATTTTTAACAAATTTCGACGCATTTTAACAAGGTCAAGGGCAATAACTCAAATACCGTTCATCGAAAATGCGTCAAGTTAGAACTTGTCCGAGATCTTATCAATTCCAATGATCACACCAAGTTTCATCAGAATCGGTTGAAAACTGTAGCTTCAATCATGCTCACGAACTATTTTAACAAATTTTGACGCGTTTTTACAAAGTCAAGTGCAATAACTCAAAAACCGTTCATTGAAAATGCGTCAAATTAGAACTTGTCCGAGATCTTATCAATTGCAATGATCACACCAAGTTTCATCAGAATCGGTTGAAAACTGTAGCGTCAATCCTGCTCACGAACTACTTTTAACAAATTTCAACACTTTTTAACAAAGTCAAGGGCAATAACTCAAAAACTGTTCATCTAAAATGCGTCAAGTTAGAACTTGTCCGAGATCTTATCAATTCAAATGATCACACCAAGTTTCATCAGAATCGGTTGAAAACTGTAGCTTCAATCCTGCTCACAAACTATTTTTAACAAATTTCAACGCGTTTTAACAAAGTCAAGGGCAATAACTCAAAAACCGTTCATCGAAAAAGCGTCAAGTTAGAACTTGTCCGAGATCTTATGAATTCCAATGATCACACCAAGTTTCATCAGAATCGGATGAAAACTGTAGCTTCAATCCTGCTCACAAACTATTTTTAACAAATTTCGACGCGTTTTAACATTTTCATCGAAAATATGTCAAATTCGAACTTGACCGAGATCTTATCAATCTAAAGCATCACACCAAGTTTTATCAAAATCAGATAAAAACTGTAGTCTCTACAGTGCTCACAAGAAATGTTGACGGACGGACCGACGGACAGGGGCGACGACAATATACGATTCATGTGGGCGTATAAAAACGGATACTAATTATTTTTCGACTTTTCTAATTTTCAATACAGATCATCCTTGGGTGATAAAAAACATTCACACCAACTTCTGTCAAAAGCTGTCAAGAATTGTGCCTTCTAGAGTGTTTACGTGATAATAATTGAACGCATATTCAAGAACACTGCAATAACTAATACTTAATATTTTGCGATTTTTCTGATTTTCAATAGGGTTCATCCTTGGGTGATAACAAACATTCACACCAAGTTTCATCAAAATCTGTCAAGAATTGAACCGTCTTGAGTGTTTACAAGCAAAAATTGAACGAGTTTTCAAGAACAAGGGCAATAACCCATACTAATTATTTTGCGATTTTTCTGATTTTCAATAGGGTTCATCCTTGGGTGATAACAAACATTCACACCAAGTTTCGTCAAAATCTGTCAAGAATTGAACCGTCTTGAGTGTTTACAAGCAAAAATTGAACGTGTTTTCAAGAACAAGGGCAATAACCCATACTAATTATTTTGCGATTTTTCTGATTTTCAATAGGGTTCATCCTTGGGTGATTACAAACAACCATACCAAGTTTTGTCGAAATCAGTCAAGAAATGTGCCTTGTAGAGTGTTTACGAGCAATATACGTCCCCAATTTCAAATGGGCGTATAAAAATTATCTATATACAATATATTCTCCAAGGGAATTAAGTGTAGCTATCTGTAGCATTTTTCTAAAGGAGTATAGTCGCATTATTTTGTGATGAGGTAAATGATTAGGAAGTTGCAGATTCCCTTGACATAATAATTTTTATGAGTTAATGGCGCATAACATTATTATTGCTGAAAGGATGTATGTCAATTATAAACCTGCTGTCTCCTCACAATGAAACACTAATGAGTTATTCGTTTCATAGCGTAGAGATCAAACACAAACTTCTAACATTTCATAACTTCCACCTTCTCATTATACTCTTGTTATTGAATAAGCTTAATGTATTTCATGATAAACTCACTATGGTGCTTTCTCACATTTACTAATGGTCAATTACCTGCGCAATGTGCTCAATACCTCTTCATACATCTTATATATTCTCATTATGCAATGAAATTTTTTTTTAGGTTACTATTGAGCTACAATGTATGTCATTAACCACTGAATTCGGCTTGATAAGAATTATGTTTGAAATGTTTGAGTATAATTATGAAACCTGGAGCTGCTTTGGCTTTCAACCAACGTTAATATACTTTGGTTTGGTTTGTCACATGTTTCTGTCATCGCAAAATAATATTTGATTTAGGTTATGTTTAATTGTTGTTCTTATATAGTGATGGATATAACAAAATCAATAGATTGGCTTTCAAATTATAGTCTTTCCTCTTGACTGTATAGTTTGAAAAACCTATTTCAGCACGAACATATCAAGAGCTACAAGAATCTATATTCCCTTTTATAATCACATTGAATTTGTCACTCGTCGATTGTTGACATTTGAATGCAATCATTTGTCCTTGGGAAAGTGAAGAGGCAACAATTATACAATAGCAAAAAATAACCTCTTGACATAAGGCTGTGAGACAATGGCCATAGGCTGTATCGGAGAGTTTGCTTATCATGAGGAAATGTTCGTGATAATCAATTAATGGCAAAAATTGGTTTACCAACACACTGTTAACAATAGTCGTCCTCATAACCTATAGTATAATTCAATGTGAATTATTATCATACAAAAGACAATGTTTCGTTTATTCATTGTTCCAAATATTCTGTATTAGGACTTAATTGTTCCGTACAACGTTAAAAGTAGGTCTCCACGTGTCAATCCTGACTATTATACCTTTAGCCTAGTTCTGTATAATAATTGAAATCCGTCCTGATAATATTTTAGCAAACAAACTTAACCATTGTATTATGTTATTGGGACTATACAATTTTGCTGACTTGATTATTCAGTTTATTTACTGTTATAATCGAGATTAACAGGTTTTGTATACAGATATATATGGACAAATACAATCCTCTCAGTAATTACCAATCTAAACTAAAATATCGAATTGCAATTATGTCGACTAGGACTCGATTTCACTACATAGTCCCTTTTCTTATTTTAAACACTTTCGTCAACTGTTCTGAAAGGTCTGGATGCCCCCCTCGTAGCCCTGAAGGCTAGTTTTTCGGGCAAGGCATTAGGAATTTTTTTCTTTGAACGGCCCGATTTTTTTTTTTTTTGGAATTTAAAAATGAAATCATATCTTTGCCCTAATATCCTATACTATAACTTTATTTTTTTTAAATTGATAGCCCGATTGTATTCTATAATTATTTCATAATTCATATTATTTAAGGATCGAAATCACTGCCCGAATGTCATTCGTATGATTATATTTTACATATTTCAAAAATTAGATTAGAACTTTTTTTACACAATCAAAAAAAGGCAATTTGGGCACAGATTTCAATTTTTTTCAATAAATATTGTATGACATACAATATTTGTTAAAAATGAAATCTGTGCCCGAATTGTCTTAAATTAAGATAGTTCGGTAAGGTTTCACCTAACAAGTTAACAACAATAACAATAGTGTTTCTCTCGAGGAGTTTGCAAAACTCTCATAACTAAGTTAGAAAATCGGGCAACCTCAGATATCTCTCCCCCACCCTCACCCCCCGGGGACGTAAACCTGGCTTCGCCACTGAAGACGTGAAACAAAACATTTTTTTAAATTTTATAACCAGCATTTGCAGCAGGTTGACATTTAATTATAGATTTCTGCTATTGCAATTGTTGGTAGTGAAAAGTTCAAGATATTCTACGATCATAATAACGTTTTTTTTAACGCAATATCAGAGTATCATGTAATGGATGTGATTGAGGTATATTGTATTGATTTATGTTTAAAAAAATAATACATAAGAAGGATAGTATAAAATCATTCCATCAAATCCGACAGCTGATAAAATTGGATTCAAGTTGGTTATGGTCATGGAACCTTATTTAGAGTGTTAAGGTTGAACAAATGATGCCTCTGTGATTAATGTTTCGGTGGAAGAAGACTGCCTGTAGTATGTTGTTATTCGAAGTGTTATATACGTTGCCTGTATTTTACATATTTATTTAAGAAAATACTCAAAATGCCCTTTGAAATAATTCAGCATTATATACTCTGGTCACGTACAGCAAATATTTTAATACCATTGTCAGATTTCATACGTTCCAAGACACGATATGCAAAAACCATGTTAGCAATTAATAAAAGACCTGTCATGATAGGCCTACACAGAACAGCAATATTTTATTTTCTCAGTCCATGCTACCGAACCATAAGACATGTTTTTGCTGTAGGAAGATGTTTATTGGCGTAATGGAGTCTCAATAATATTAATCTAGACAAATTCTTTATAATCCTTTTTATCTACAACGTATTAGTTTATCTGAAGACTTCTAAATGCAAAAGGAAATTGGAAAAGGTCGAAAGAATATAGCTTAAGAAATCGTATCAATTTATTTCTGTCTGCCCTGACAATCATTTGTCTAGAAACCTTAGGATGATCTTTTCATTTTCTTTGAATTAAACTTATCGTTTTTTCTTTGCAGACTATAATTTGTTAATTTGACCTATATTCACAAAATAATTTGATTATAAAATAAATGAAATTTATTGCGGCAATGTTTCACAATTTTTATTTAGTAGCTGGATTCAGATGCGCAAAACTACGGTATATAAGGCATTTATATAACATACATTATCCAAGTATTATAATATATAATATTACAACATTATATTTTATAGAACGGATCCTGACATGTAACATTATCTCTAAAGTGATTTATTCTTAGACTGGCGGTTGCAATCTCATTGAATGCAGGTCTAAATTTTTTTGTGGAAGGATCCAATTGCCATCTAATCCATAGTTTTATGCATCGAGAGTCACAACCAGCGTGCTTTTTATACGCCCACATGAATATGTGGTCGTATATTGTCGTCTCCCCTGTCCGTCGGTCCGTCCGTCGGTCCGTCCGTCAACATTTCTTGTGAGCACTATAGAGACTCCAGTTTATATCTGATTTTGATAAAATTTGGTGTGATGCTTTAGATTGATAAGATCTCGGTCAAGTTCGAATTTGACATATTTTCGATGAACGTTTTTTGAGATATTGCCCTTGACTTAGAACGCCTTGAAATTTGTTAAAAATTGTTCGTGAGCAGGATTGAAGCTACAGTTTTAATCCGATTCTGATGAAACTTGGTGTGATCATCGGAATTCATAAGATCTCGGACAAGTTCTAACTTGACGCATTTTCGATGAACGGTTTTTGAGTTATTGCCCTTGACTTTGTTAAAACGCGTCGAAATTTGTTAAAAATAGTTCGTGAGCAGGATTGAAGCTACAGTTTTCAACCGATTCTGATGAAACTTGGTGTGATCTTTGGAATTGAAAAGATCTGGGACAAGTTCTAACTTGATGCATTTTCGATAAACGGTTTTTGAGTTATTGCCCTTGACTTTGTTAAAACGCGTCGAAATTTGTTTAAAATAGTTCGTGAGCAGGATTGAAGCTACAGTTTTCAACCGATTCTGATGAAACTTGGTGTGATCATTGGAATTGATACGATCTCGGACAAGTTCTAACTTGACGCATTTTTGATGAACGGTTTTTGAGTTATTGCCCTTGACTTTGTAAAAACACGTCAAAATTTGTTAAAAATAGTTTGTGAGCAGGATTGAAGCTACAGATTTCAACTGATTCTGATGAAACTTGGTGTGATCATTGGAATTGATAAGATCTCGGACAAGTTCTAACTTGACGCATTTTCGATGAACAATTTTTTGAGTTATTGCCCTTGACTTTGTTAAAACGTGTTGAAATTGGTTAAAAATAGTTCGTGAGCAGGATTGAAGCTACAGTTTTTAACCGATTCTGATGAAACTTGATGTGATCGTTGAAATTGATAAGATTTCGGACAAGTTCTAACTTGGCGCATTTTCGATGAAATGTTTTTGAGTTATTGCCATTAACTTACGAAATACGCGTCAAAATTTGTTTGTCAGCACAATAGAAGCTACAGTTTTCAGCCGATTTTGATGAAACTTGGTGTGATCATTGAAATTGATAAGATCTCGACAAGTTCTAACGAGATATTTTTGATGAACCTTTTTTTAGTTATTGCCCTTGACTTTGTAAACACGCGTCAAAAGTTGTTTTTTGCCCTTGATTAGAGCTGTGTGATTTAATTGTTTGTTGTATTTGGGTTATTGATATTGATTTTTAAAAAATTTGTGGAATTATTCAGCATAAATAATTTCTTCAATATGAGAAAATTCGTACTTTAGTCACTAAAGACTGTTTTATCATTTCTGACAGCTGCCAGTGGGTCGCATCGCAAGCTATTTTTTTACATGGAATTTTCATTTTCAAAAAGTAGAGTATGCGACAACTGCTTTACCTTTACAAAAATTATCCTTTGGGAACAGATTTATCAATTTCTATAAACATTTTATAATCATTCTTGTTCTGTCCATCAATGTTAATAATGATAGTAATCATTGTTTAACGGAGAAAACAAAGAATAAATGGAATGAGACATCTACACATGAATTCTAATCAGACTTTGGACAATTGATATAGTGATGACTAAATATTTTTCTGAATAAAAATGAAATAATATTATCCATGCCATTAATTGTTTTTCTTTCTATATTTCAGGTTGACGGTATTAGATGTTGTAATTCAATGGCTGTAACCATGTTTAATAATACCTTTCTTCATTATTCACCAAGTCTCAACACGGAAACATTAACTCTGACTATCATGTTATCAATATTTGCCATTTTGGGATCCATTGGAAATTCTTTGGCCACGTTCGTTTTTTATAAAGTTAGAGACAAAACGACAGCACAAATATTTATTTTATACATGTCTGTTATTGATTTATTTACATGTACAGTTATTATTCCATTTACTGTGGTCGTAGAATACCTGCGTTACGACGTCAGGTTTGACGGAATCTGTAAACTGTATCAGTTCCTTATTACATCCAAAGTGCCATTATCAGCATTTATCATGGTCGCAATTGCCTTTGATCGTTATTTTTGCATCTGTCATCCATTGCGACGAATCGTGACCCCTTTCAGAATGAAAATGGTGATTTTGTGCCTCACAATATTTGCCTGTACTCTTGGCATTATCACATGTTTGTCTTATGGAGTATACAGAAGAGCCTCCATCCCAACATTGTCATTTTCGGATTCAAAGTTGGACGGAATCGGAAGCAAATTTATGGACTGGAGACCAATGGCTGACGAACCTGTATCTTCAGATGATGTCAGTCAGTCAGTAATGTCGTTTATTATGGAATATCTTAAGAAACGCAACGTAAGTCACACAGTTACATCATTGGGTGACCAGGACCAGGTTGTCTACATTGGAACATGTTTACCGAACAGTCTAGTGCTGGATTTAAACTTTCTATATGTGTATCAAAAAGTTTATTCTGTTCTTTTCGTCGTGTGCCTTGTCGTTGTAGCTATTCTTTATGGCTTAATCTTGAGGTTTATACAATTGAGAAGGTCTAAAAAACTTCAACAAAAATTAGTTTTGTGTACTTACATGAATGGAGAACAAGCTTTTGAAGGAACCAGGATGACTTTGTTGAACGGCAACGATGATGAACACCCACATCTGAAATCTAAGGATTCTCTTCATGAAGAAAATAATACGTTAAAAGTAGACCAAAATAAAAACAACGATATTCGTCGGACATCATCATTTATGTTCGATGCTGACAAGCTTCGTGATGAAACCCGAACAGCCAATATTAAAACAGCCATTATGTTGTTTACTGTAACTGTTGTGTTTGTCATTGCGTTTTTACCCGCGTGGTTAATGGCTCATAAATTTATTCCGCCTAATATTGTAATATTTTATATGTACTTTAGTTACAATGTCGCCAATCCATGTATTTATGCTTTTATGAACCCCGTGTTTCAGGAAACACTGAAAAAGATTTATCGTAGATCAAGTTAAAAGTATACAAAGTATGTTGTACAACGAGTGATTGTGTATTTATAGAAAACAGTTAACAGTAGTCTATGTGGATAAAATCTAATATTATCATTATCATAGACCGGAAGGCACCTAATTATTTAATTGAAAAGTTGGTAATCTATTGGAAGTTGCTGGTAATCGAAGTCTGTATTAAAACTATTATTTCATTAGTATATTGCGTGGTTTATATGGTACATTTATCATTTATTTTATAGATAAATATTTATCAAATGAAAATCAGCGTTTTACAACAAAAAAAAAACAATTTTTTTGCGGCAATTAATTTTGATACTTCCACCAGGGAAAGTAGTACTCTTTTGATACAGAAATGGCTTCATTGCTAATCACTTTATACTTTTCTACAGTCAAATGATTGTCCGTTCCGGGATGCTAAAAAAGTCAATTGATCTCCAGTGGATGATGTTGAAGTAGTCAATGATACACAACGTACTAAGGACTAACTATATTGCTTTTAATCTTGATCAAAAGAAGGCTGTATTACTGGATCTTTCAGATCTGAGTATTGCATTTGACAAGATTGAACAATAACTGATTATTTCGCGTCTGAAACAAAGATTTGGAATAAACGGTTGTTTCTTGGATTAGTTCTGCCCATACATTATAGGATTAACTTTAAAATACTTTCCCTGACCTATTCCATATCCGATTCGCCAATTAATTTAAAATATTTCTTCAACAATATAAACCATCTCGATCGCTCCGAACACAAAATAATCAAGTTCCAACAAATCCGATATCGAAAATTGGAGAAAAGCAGTATCCTTTCTTTGGAATAAATTAATACCATAAATGCGATGAATTCATTTTAAAAAAAAACAAAACAACCGAATAGCGAACTATTCAACCAATGCTTCTCTTTATATTCAATGCGTGATGTTTTCCTGTTGTGTTGACTTTTTAACTTGATGGTTTGTTTACAGCGCCATGGGGCAGCATTAATACAAGTTCATTAATATATAATATAATTAATATTAATTGATCTGATCCCCAGTCTAGGATGCTGAAGTAGTAAATTGATCCCCAGTCTAGGCTGCTAGAGCAGTCAATTGATACCTAGACTAGTATGTTGAAGTAATCAATTGATCCCTTGTGTAAGATGTCAAAGTAGTCAGTCGATCTCCAGTCTAGGATGCTAAGGCAGTCAATTGATCTCTAGTCTAGGATGTTGACGTAGTCAATTGAGCCCCAGTCTAGGATACTGAAGCAGCCAATTGATCTCTAGTCTAGGATGCTATAGCAGTCAATTGATATCCAGTCTAAATTGATGGAGCAGTCAAACGATCCCCTGTTTAGCGTACTGAAGCAGTCAATATCCACTGAAGCAGTCAATTGATCCCCAAACTAAGAACAGTCAATAGATCTTATTCACGCTTTGTTTTTGAGACGTTGAAAGCGGATTCATAACACAAATTACGTCATCCATTGATAAGATGAATGAATAACCGTTTTGACGTCAATAGACACTCGCTCAACAGCAAGAAAATGGGCTTAAAACTGTCCTTTCTCGAAAATGTGTGAAGGTAAAATTTATCTGAAAGTATTAATTTAATGATGTATTATTATTAGTTTCGAGCAAGCGGGGTTGCAGAAATAGGCTTGAAAGGCTTCCAGGTGGCGATTTTATGCAGTGGCATTACAACGTTATCCTTTTCAAGTTTAGCGTTATGAGCCTGGTCTATATTTATTCCAAATCTAGGATACTAGAGCAGTCGATTAATCACTAGTCTAGGATGTAGAAGTAAGTCAATCAATCCCTAGTCTAAACTACTAGAGAAGTTCCTATTCTAGGATGCTGAAGTAGTCAATTGATCTTCAGTCTAGTATGTCAGAGAAGTCAATTGATCCCTAGTTTGGATTCTGAAGCAGTCAATTGATTCCTAGTATAGGATGCTCGGTCTAGGTCTCATCAACGCACATATGCCTACAGAATTCCATCATTCAAGGGCAAGTACTTTAAAATCATGTTATAATATAATTAAAGATGTAAATAAAGATGGGATAAAAGAAACTAGAGTCTCTCTCGTGTCTACAATAAATGCAGAAATACGAACAAGGTGACGGCAATTTCTAGAGTCGGTTTCAGTGGATTTGCTTCAAGAATGGCACATCCCAAATTAGAACATGTAACAACCAACTGATTCATGTTTGGTGTTAATAACCAGAGAAATGTTTCACGTACTAATAGGACAATCGGACAGAACTATATATCAGTCTTAGCAGAGAATCAATCATTAATGACAAACGCTAAAAGCAAAGATAACAGCATGTTGATCTAAAAGATTAGCTGGTCCATAAATTCTATAGTTTGATAGGGTTGGAGAGTCAGCTGATTATACACAGTCAAAAATAACACCTGAGAGATTGTATTCATTCAAGGTTAGTGTGTTATCAATACAAAATTTTCGAATTAATGCCCTTAATTTAGTAAAAAACGCATCAATATTTGTTCGTGAGCACGATACTAACTACAGTTGTCATTCGATTTTAATGAAATGTAGTTTGGTGATTTATTTTCATGATATCTCAATCAAGTTCGAATAAGAGGATTTTTTGATGAAAATTTTTTGCGTTATTGCCCTTGACGATTATTCGATGAACAGTTTTTGAGTTATTGCCCTATTGTATTCATCCGATTATGATAAAATTTGGTGTGATAATTTAAATTGATGAGAATTTAGTAATACAATGATTTTGCGATGAAGGGCATTTGAGTTAGTGCTATTGATTAAAAAAAAACATTTGGAATTAATGTAATACATAACTACAATGTATTATGAAGACCAAAAAATACTGTTCTTGTTTCGGACAGCTTGTATAAAGTGGGCGTATGTTATCTTGTCTAGTAAGCTATCTTTCTGTAAGGGAAAATATACACAAACAATAACATTATGGCCATTACATGATCATGTGTCCGTGTTTATGGCTGGAAAATTCTGCTGTTAATTTTCTGGAAAATGCGTATTGAATATAGCATGAGGTGCTTAAAATCAGAGAAAACAACCAGCCCGGTCTTATAGTTTAATACGAAGACATAACAAACTATACATACTAGAAATCTCCCCTCTTCAACCCTCTACAAGAATAAAGTCTCCAGCGTCTGAGTATTGACCATACGGAGATTGGTTTAAGTTTAAGAAAAAACTAAATCGGGAGAAAACTATATACAAATCGCATGGTACCACTGCGTTTCAGATAACGACGATTAAGACGATATTGACATGAATTATTTTATCTTTTTTTCCACTCTTTCAGAACACATGGTTGTATTTTGCTATTTGGTTTTGTCTATTGATAAGACACAAAGAAGTTACAGTATTTTTTTTGCGTACCCCCGCTTCTTATAGCCTAGTTGAGTTATAGCTCCCTCACACCCGGACTGCGACCTTTTGCGATCTTATACTACGATATGAACTGTACTATTCACGGCGTTTATTTTGGACATGTTCAATACCAACCCCCAGGTTTGGCGATCTGTTCTGGTAGGCCCGAAGCGGATATGGTCCAAAGATGAACGCCGTGAATAGTGGCAACAATGGCATGATGTCTGCAGGCTTTTATCGCGCTTATGGCGACCCTTAACAGTTTTCCATCGCAGCCACAACGCATTACAATGCCATTAGAATGCATTTCGAAGAAATGCTGCATGGCTGCATGATTAGACAAATCATCGCCGAACTTTGACCAATCAGGGTGACTTTTAACTATAAGATGATCTGTGGTATATAAATGATTGTTCAAGGGGAATATATTCGTAGCGAAGTGGCAGTACTAGCAGTGGCGGCGTCAGCCTCCTGGAACTGGAGGTACAAATAGGGGACAGGCTGACTTAAGAGAGGGGCGGATGCAGGTTTTAAGATTCCAAATATGAAGGGCATAGGCCTGCAATGCGATAAAGTTATCCCAAATGAAAATTATTTTGATTTGGTTAATAATGCCATATTGGGGTCAAAAAATCCTTAAAATCATATTTTGAAATTTCTCATAAGAGAAGGCTAGGTATATTGGGGGTACGAACTATATTTCCTGGGGAACAAAATGCCCTTTCCCTTTCCCTACCTTATCGAAGTCTGTTTCTCAGAGAGAATAACTGCTATTAGATAAACACAAATCGATTAAGGTCAAAAATACATCTTTAAGATACAAATACCTATAAGCCTATATTATTAAATGAATCTTATACATCTTATTACACTGTAACACGTATTTAATCGGATTTCAAGGGTATAATCTGAAAGATGAGTCTTGATGAGATGGTAGTTACAACAATTTACCTTACTGCTATTCAATCGATACTTGCATTCTTATCTTTCTCAAAGGCTGAATTTGAGATAATGTTCGAAGCAAAGCTTAATTCATCTGTAAAACTCGTAAATCACAATCTCAAATGATGAGAACGCTCATGGTAACTACAGTGGCTTTACCCATGAGTGACATAATCGCAAATTCCAATATAGCTTTGTGTGATATTGTTCATCAACTTTGTTATCATATCCATACAACATCCAACACGAGTGTTGCAGTTAATTTTTCTCATTGCAGAATTTGAAAATCTTTATATATAAAGAAAATATCGAAAAAAGACGATATATGCTTAATTAGCACAGTTGTCATAGATATCACTCGCCACCAGCATTTTAAAAGTTTCATAATGGGAGTTTTAAATTCAATTTGTTCTCATTTAAGGAAATACATGAGGTTATACTTGAAATTACCATAAAAATCTTTCTTGGTATATTTATTTCACGTTTTATAATAATTCGTAATAATGTTATTATTTTCACCGATATATACTTCGGAGTCTTATGCACTTTATTCAGCAGTGTAAAAACTAAATGCAGCGGTTATTAATCTCTGAGTGAAGCAGCGGTTTTTTTAACCTTATCTTATTTGAAATCATTTTTTATTATTTAGGTATTAGGTAAATCTTAAAATCTGTTAAATCCTCGTGACATTGTCAT